TAGTGGCCTAGTCAAAGGTTAAATCCATCTGAGATGGTTTGGTATGACTTTAAACAGGCCATACATGCTTCAAAACCTTCCAGTGTAGCTGAATTTTGCAAAGAAAAGTGGGCCAAAATTCCAGTGATCTGAAAGACATTGTCAGTTATTGCAAATGCTTGATTGTAATTCTTGCTTCCAAGTATGGCACAAACAGTTTTTAAAGAATAGCTATATTTTTTACATAAGCCCATGTAGGTTTAAATAGCTTTTTCTCTTAAATTAAATCATTTAATAACTGCACTTTGCATTTACTCAGGTAATCTTTGGCTCATATTACATTTTTTTTTGATGATCTGACACATATCAACAAATATCAAAAAAAGAAAATATCAAAAAAAAGAAAGAAAAGAAATCAATAGGACTGTAGCACTGTAGGTTAGGGGCAACTTTCATCTGCTCTTATGCATTTTCAGATAATTTTAAAGCTTTTCAATAAGCTGTAATATAGTGGTATAATCCTAAACTATTGCATCTAATATTGTTATTATTGTTCATATCATTTCTATATCTAAACCCAATTACCAGTTTGGATTTTCCTTTTATATTTCATAAATATATTTATATGTTCCTTTTTATACTTCTTTAATGTGCTGACACAATTTAACACTTTCTGAGTAAATAAAAGAATAGGGCTTGAGTTAGACTTGTACATCATGGGTATATCTTCATTTACGCATTCGTTTAACTAAATCCACAATTTTGACTATAGCCAGATCTCCCTGTATTGTAATAATAGAGATTATTGAGTTTAATAAATGGCCACTTATTTTCAGCTTTCCTTTCTAGCTTTGAATAAATAGTTTATTTATACAACATTTTATATAATGCTGACTACTAAAAGCAATTAAAATACACGCACATAATTTAGCTGTTTTAATAATATAGGCCTATATACTGTCTATTGATTTTCTTATCACACACACTCATACACCGATGCTTTGATTTCCATAGTTACACAGGTATATTTAGATGTATTGTGTGTTTAATTACTTTATTTTAATATTAAATCTTGTAAAAGCTTGTAGCTAAACTGGTGAAACCCTGGGTTGAGTTATCAGGCTGATAACCACTTTTGTGACTGATAGTATGATAGATGATATTAGCATAATATAAAGATTTGGAGAATCTGAAATTGCTTTGCACTACAGAACCCAAATTGTACAAGAACATAATCAATGTTTTGTTTTCTGATGATCTGGCAATGTGGCTGAATGCAAAGAAACACCACTTCATACTGAAGTGGAGATCACTGGTCTAAACAGGATGGATGAGGTGTGGTGAGATGTGAATTACATGCAAATTCACTGCAGAAGAGAGTATGCTTAATAAGCCTTTAGACCATGTTCCACATAGAGTCTACTTGAACTTGGAGAAATAAGTTCAGCATGCTCACCAAGTTTATATCTGTGCATAGAAGGCAACATGAATTTCTCCACTATTTCCTGGAGAAAATATGCTAAGAGTGAAACACCAGCAATGACATGTGGGACTAAATACAGTTGTATTCACATACGTTTTGGGTCTGAGACATTCTTAAGAACTGCTTGTTCACATCGGTGCCCAGTGAATCCAGCCAAGCACCTAGTTAATGGATAGAAAGGACAAGACAAAAACAGCACCTACTGTTATCCACAGGACGCAAACACTCAATGACACAGTCACAAAACATACTATGTTCCAAGATAGAACTTTATCATATAATGCTTTTTTTGTTTTAAAAGAAATATCTAGATATAATGTTACAATTACAACATAATAAACATAGTGGGAGTTCCCAACCTGGATGGGAGGCATACCAAGAAAGCCCTACAACACCCATGGTCTTTAGGAACTTAGGGTGATCCTCATCCACCTCAGTGACCCAGCCACTAAGGAGTTGTTCAGCTACCTCAGTGACCTTTTTCAAGTAATGCGCAAATCATTCCCCTCATCCCAGACTGTCATGGAAGAATAGGCCCCTGGACGGGCTATCTGAAAGCCCCATAGCATCTTATCTTAGCTCAATCATTGTCAAATGGCGTGTCACATTTTGACCTCAAGACTTCCAGGCCATAACTTAGCGCAGATACATCGCATGCCAGTCACTTGGTTATGGCGTTCTATGTATGTCTCGCTGGCTAGCATCTTGAACCCTGTTGTTATGTGCCTGATTGTTTTAGAGCTTGTTTCTGTTCTGCCATGATTACCATGATTACTGCATCTGTGCTGTTTTTTCAGCGTTACCCAGCCAGTGGTAGGATTTCTGGCTGTTAGTCAATTCTACCATCTGCTGGTGGTACATACCCTGGAGGGCCCTGTCTATCCATGATGGTTCTTCTCCTAGTCTACATTGTCAGCAAATTTCCCTTCTGGTAGTATAATCCTTTCTGGTAGTACTTTTCCTCTCTTTGTTACCATCTGGCTAAACTTCTCCAGTCCAAATGACATTCTGATGTTGTTGCTATAGATCCTGGCAGTATGGATCGATGAATCAATGCCTCATTCACTCCTGGAATACAGCATGATATCATCCATGTAGAGGAGGTGGCTGACAATTGTTCTATTACGTATTCAGTACCCATAGCCAGTCTTGTTAATGATAGCACTGTGGGGGTTCGGGCCTATGCAGAACAGCAGTGAGGACAGGGCATCTCCTAGGTAGATCCCGCACTTGATGGTGACTTGTGTGTTTGGCTTGAAATTG